ACCCCACCCCTGCGATGATTTGGGCCTGGGAGAATTTGCAGTCAGTCATGAGCTCTTACATTGAGCTGAAAGAATCCAGGTCTTTGTTCCTTATTGCCCACGTCTGCCCTCTAGAGGCCCGTGGAGGCCTCGCACCTCTGGGATCGGGATCCTCCCTGAATCCTGCCTTTGGGGAGGTTTTCTGCTGCGGAGACACAGGTGGAATGTTCCTTTCCCTCCACGGCCACTTTCCACGTGGATGCTCAGCCCGGTCCTGTTCCCCGTCTGCAGCAAACGCTCCTTTCAGGGGCGCCGAGGCCACGTGACCGTGTTTGGTCGTTAGATGACCACACAGAGGAGCAAAGGTTAGTGAGTGGAGGGAGCTGAGCCTCAATCCCGGTTCCCTCAGAGCCGCCTCCGTGAGGCCTGAAGACTTGGGGAGACACCTGCACCCGAGGGGCGTGAGGTGGCCGGCCTCGCCTGGCTGACCAGGTGGGGGTCAAGCGCAGAGCTTCCGGTGCCCTCCGGCCCCAAGCCCCCTCGTCCGCAGGCTCTGCTGGGGGACCGCCCGTGTCCATCTGCAGCGCTAGTGCCTGAGGCATGGCCGGACGTCCTGCTCCCTCCTCGCCGTGTCCAGGCCACTTGTCCTCCGCCCCCTTGGTCTGTGAGGATTTATTCAGAAACGGAACTGGGCTTTGGAACATGACGAACAGAGGGAGGCACCTCACCAGGGCTGCAGCCGGGCAGCGGCCTTCCTCCCTCTGGGCCCCCGTTCCCCACCTGTACTGAGGGGAGTGAGAGTCCTGTGCCTGGCCACCCCTCGGACGATCAGTGCCCTCGCAGGCCTGACTGCGGAGCGGCCTTCACCGGCAGGTCCCAGTGAGGCCCCACTCTCCCTGCCCCACGGCGGGGCCCCAGGGGTGGGTGACGCCACCCAGTGTCCTGAGCTGCAGGCGGCACTGCATGCTGTTCTCCCGCAGCCCAGAGGCCAGAAATCCAGGATCCGGGTGCCGGGTGGTTCCTGTGGAGGCCGGAGGTGCAGTCGCCCAGGCCTCTCGGCTCCTGGGACGCTGGTCCCGGTGCCCTCCGCTGTCATGCTGACTCCGCCTCCTGGTCACGGCGCTTCCCTGTCTGTCCTCACGGCTTTTCTCTGCTTCCCATGAGCCGGCCCCAATGGCCCTGTCTTAACACGACTAATCCCACCTGCAAGGGCCCTGTCTGCAGAGAAGGCGGCGTCCCGAGGGGGGAGCACTGGTTCTGGGGTCGCGGCGACAGGTTACCCAGGCGTGTCCGTGAGCCTCTGAGCTGAGTGCCGGGCTCCCATGGCGATGGTAGGAGAAGAAGTGGGTGTCTGGCTGCTCACGCGGCAACTGGCAGCTCTGGTCACAGCGATGGTGGACACCAGGGCCAGGGAGCAGCCCTGCACGAGAAGCTCAGAGGACCAGCCAAGACGACCCTGGAAGGTGGGACCAGCAGGCACAGCTCCTGGGCACAGGGGATGCGTGCAGATTAGCCTCTTATCTTCTAGAACCTTCTGCTGCACACTTAGTACCCTCGTCACTGCCTTCGATGCCTCTGCTCAGGAACGTACTTCTGTTAAATGGTTTTTAAAAAACATCTGGACTGTTGCTTATAGCAAATTTCTTCCATGTCCCAGCTCAACACCAACTCGGTTATGAAACTGTTATCCGCGCATCTGCACAGAAGGTTCTATGTCCAGAGTCATTAAAGGGACAGTGTCGCGCTGGCCGGTGGCTCCGCGGTGGGAGCGTCGGCCTGTGGGCTGAAGCGTTTCGTGTGGATTCCTGGCCAAGGGAGGTTCCCAGCCCCGGTCCGGGCGCATGCGGGAGGCGACCAGTCAATGTTTCTCTCACACCGAGGTCTCTCTCTCTCTCTCCACCCTCCTGCCTCCCTTCCACTCTCTCTAGAAATCAATGGGAAAAATATCCCCGGGTGAGGATTCAAAAAAATAATAAAATGAAGGGAAGCTTGTCTATTATTGCAAAAAGCCTGTGGTTATTGGAGGACTTGGACACTTTCCTCACAGACACTCGGTGTGTGAAGTCACCATCAGCTCTCCAAACCGGAGCAAACGGCCTCTGTGCCGAGGAGAAAGCGCACGTCGCTGATGGTGACACTAATATTCCTGCCGTCGGCTCGGCCGTGCAATAGAACCCACAGGCGGCAAAGCAACCGGCGTCTCCTCCTCACCATGGTGGTGGCTGGAGGTCAAGATCCAGGCGCCCGACAGTCCTGTGTCCAGTGAGGGCGGCATCCAGGAGTGCAGACCGGGGTGAGTCCTCCAGATGCAGAGACAGGGGTGTGTCCTCCAGGAGTGCAGACGGGGGTGTGTCCTCCAGGAGTGCAGATGGGGGTGTGTCCTCCAGGTGAGCCTGACAGGTGTGTCCTCCAGGTGTGCAGATGGGGGTATGTCCTCCAGGAGTGCAGACGGGGGTGTGTCCTCCAGGAGTGCAGATGGGGGTGTGTTCTCCAGGAGTGCAGATGGGGGTGTGTCCTCCAGGTGTGCAGATGGGGGCGTGTCCTCCAGGTGAGCCTGACAGGTGTATCCTCCAGGTGTGCAGATGGGGGCGTGTCCTGTGTCCTCCTGGGTGGCTGGTAGGAGGGTTGCTGAATTCTGGCTGGAAGCGGTGGGGTGATAGGTAGCACTGCTTTTGAGGTGGGGGAGAGATTGAGCTCCCCTGGGACAAGGGCACCCATCCCTCATCACCTTCCAAAGTCCCCACCCCGTTACCATCCCATTGGGGCTTTGGTTTCAAACTATGAAATCTGGGGGGATTCCATAGTCACTCCCATGGGAGAGGTACCGTCTGGCATAAGGAAGTGCAGGAGGTGGAGCCGCATTCACATGCCCCCGCCTGTGACCCAGGAGCTGCCCGGCCAGGCTCCATACCTTCCGTCCTCAGGCCTCGGTGCCTTCACGGCCACCAGCACCGACGTGCATCCGTTTTCATCTTAGCGCCTTTTCTCAGGGTCGTGGATGATGTTTTAGCGCCTGCATTTCCGAGGAGGTGTCTGGTACCCATGACTCTTGGTTTACAGAGGAAACCGGTCCACCTTCTGCTTGTTAACAATTTAACAAAAAGCAGCCGGCAGCCGCAGTGGCTGTGGCGCAGCCCAAGGCACCTGTGTCCACAGCCCTCCCGGGTCATGGCCCTGCCGCTGCCTCACGTCACTGTCCCCCGCGGGGCAGCCCTCAGGAGGAGCGGCGCCCCGGAGAGCAGGGGTCCTGGGACGCACTAACCTGAGCTGGTCTGGAAGGAGGGCGGAACAAGGGCCGTGAGGAGGGAGAGCAGGAGGGATCCTCCGCGGACAGCCGCTGTGGGTGCCCCTAGGCCTCCTGGGTGTGGGTGCTGTTCAGAATGTCCCTGACCTGGGAGAGCTCTCACGGAGACGCGTGACGTGTCCTGGGCTGGGGCAGTGACACCGGGGGGAGCTAACCCTCCCCAAATGTGGCCGCCCCGTGGGGCCCTGTGCCCGCCTGGGACCCAAATGGTGGGCCCCGAAAGAAGACACAGACCCGGCTGGAGATCCGTCGTGCTACAAATGTGGCAACACCTTTTATTTCGAGGAAAGATGTGTGAACGTCAGCATGACAAAGTTTGTACAAAGTCCACGATTTAAAAATGAAGTATCACTGCAACTCGTGATTCCACACATTTTAGCAAAATTAAAGTGTCAACAAACCCATGCCGTGTCGTACAAAAATAAATCAAACTTCAGTTCCACAGAGCACAATAAATATTTATACAAAATCTGTCTTAATAAATGGTCACTTAAATTAACTTAGAAATGAATATGAACAATAAGTTATAATAAACTCTGATGACTCACGATAATTCCATATGAAAGGTCAGCATTCTAGGATGAGACACTGTGACCCCCTATATAACGTCACAGGTGACTTTGATTGGATATTATTACCAATGTTAGGTGAGCAGCAGATTTGTGCTTAAAACCCCTTTCCATTGTACACAGGTGATAACAAAACCGAGACACCTATTACTCTACGAGAAGCATCACTATATGGCGAGAAGCTGCGGACACACGGGATGCAGATGCCGATATGAACAGCGGCGGCGGCCCTGGCGTCAGCTCTCGAAGGCAATTCTGAGCGTGGCAGCTACGACTACGCGCTAACAGAGGGCCCCGAGCAGCTGCGGAGCCCAGTCATTACACACCTTTCCCAGCTCGTCACTGGAGTCCTTGTGAGAATGGAGCGTGCGTACAGTGAGCGTGTAAAGTGCCGCTGGGATGTGGTTATATACATGTCCACGAGGTCGGGCATTGGATCAGAGTCTGTGGGGGGCCCGGCAGCCCCCTCAGCACGGCGTCGGGTCCGCCCGCGGGCCCCGGTCCTCCGGGCGGCGTTGCGAGGCTGGGAGAGGCTGGGACGCGGATTGCACACCTCTGCTCGGACGCAGAGGACAGGTGAGTGCAAATATCGACTGGCACGTTGTGGGGACAATGACCCTGTAAGTCCTGTTCTGCTAAAAATATTTTTTTAATTTTTACAAAACCCATCTTTTTTTCATAACAAAATTTTAAAGTACTTTTGTACTTCCTGTGTGACATCTAGACATGGAAGGAAGTGATGCCATGATACGGCCGGGAGTCCTCGGGGCAGACCGGTCAGTCTCAGGTCGTCGGGGACACGGTGGTCTCCAGGGGCAGACACGTCTGGGGAGCTCGCGACAGAGAAAGTGCTGAAGTACGTCCAGGGCACCTGCTTGGACGGCCCCCGTCCTCGGGCAGCTCGGGCAGCAGCTGGCAGCCCTCCGTGGCCGCTGCCTCCACACAGGTCGGACTTCAGGGCCTGGGGAGAGAGCCCTCACCGCGGCCACAGGCTCACAGGAGCCGGAGTCGGCGGGAGGGAGGGTTCTGAGCAGCTTTGCCACGGAATCCAGCAGAAAATTCAGTCTCGTAACTCGAAGACTCACAAGTCCTTTCCCTTTATGCCCCAAATGCAAAATAATAACAACAGCAATGACAGTGTTGAAGGTGGAGGGGAAGTAAATACTCCTAAGTGAGCTCTGAGCGGAGTGAGCGCAGACTCCTTGGCCAGGCCTCCCTGCAGCAGAGCCAGCGGAGGCAGGGACGCGGGAGGGCGGCTGGGAGTTCACTGGGGGAGAAGTCTTCGCTGCCTCCTGCAGCCCCTGCGGGAGCTCTGTTCCCAGGTCTCGCGTGCCACGCTCAGGAGCAAACCAGAAAGTGCTGCGTGAGCTGCTTCACATCTTCTGCCAGCTGTCCATGGCTTGATGTTCTTACAACACATTACTTATCTCATTCCTTACAGTTAGTCCACATGCCATTTCCTTGGAATTCAAAAAACCTCACTTATTGCCCCCACCATACACCATCCTCCTAAAACAAACAAACAAAAAAATCACATAATATTTCCAAGCATTGTTCAAAAATAAAGCATTTTTTGCAAACAAGTCTTGCTATGAAACAATGTGCACACAAAATGCACTTCTTAAATCCCATAAAACCCTCCAGCACGAGGCGAAATGACGATGTCTGAAACGCGGCCGCACCGCCTCGTGGTCATTCAAAGCCGTTCCTTTTTGTCCATTTCAGTTCAAAAGACTAAAACATGTAACCGCTAAGCATTAAAAAGAATGTACACTCCATTTTGATCAGCTTACCTCTTCAGAAATATATATATCCCCCCCCATGTGCACACATTAGCAGCTATGAACATGACATGGAGAATCACACTATGTCGGCTCATGTGAAACGTACGCAACGTGAATGTGTCCACACTACGTGCAGGTGCTACTGTGAGGGCGGGACGTGAGGCCATGGAGTCTCTGGGCGGGGCACTCGGACAGACATGCGCACGGGTGCGCTCGGGCGGGGCAGCAGCAGGGCGACAGGCGTCCTTTCTAGCAGGTTCCGCCATACGTCACTGAGCAGCTGGTCAGACCTGAATTCCTCTCACAGCCTGCTTTATATTTTCCAGGAGGGCTTTATTTTCTGGGCTCTGATAACGATCTTGATTTGTATACATGTCCGTCAAAGTAGTCACGTACGCATCAAAATTTTGTTCATTGATTGGGTCCTACGAGATATTAAATAGTAGTTCATACACAGCTTTTATTTTCTTAATAGGAATTCACATCAGCATAAAAAGCATCACAGCCTACGCCACTGTCTGCATCGTATTAAAGGCCTCCTCAGAGCACACTTACTCCACGGGTGCCCTGACCAGCCACCAGCACTCTATGCAGGCAGCGCCATGGCAGGCGTCTCCGTGAGCGGTCACCACAGACCTCTCCTCCCGGTGGCTGGGCAGGCCACCAGTGCCGCCTGCGCTCTCCGTCACTTACCACGGCGGCAGCTGGGTGGCAGCCAGACTGTGGGTCAGGGACTGGCCCGGTGGGCAGCGCAGGGAGAAGACTCAGTCACTTACCATGTGTGGCAGCTGGATGTTGGCCAGACTGTGGATTAGCGACTGGCTCAGGTTCGCCAGCTCGTGCAGCAGAGACTCGTTCTGCTGCTCGATCACCTTGTTCTCCTCCTCGATGGTCTTCAGGCTGCTCTCCATGGTGGTGATCTGAGAGGCACAGAGTGTGGACACAGGGAGCTGGGCTCCGCCCCGCAGGGAGGGGCCTGTCTACCGATGCAAAGAGAGGACCTCTTTGCTTAAATAAAAAGGCTTCAAAGGTTAAGAATCTGTCATTTTAATGGTTGGCCTTCCTGCTCATCCCACACAAACACCAGCAACCAGGTGACCGACGGCCACCGGCTCCAGCAACGCCCCCCCAACACTGCAGAGACCGATGCGGGGGAAGCACAGGGAAAATGAGCAAAGCCAAGGGCACCTCCCAGTGCTGGTCCCTGGCCTGTGCCCCTGAGGGGGCAGGAGCGGCTGGAGCCCAGGGGGCAGGAGCCCAGGGGGCAGGAGCGGCTGGAGCCCAGGGGGCAGGAAGGGGCTGGAGCCCAGGGGGCAGGAAGGGGCTGGAGCCCAGGGGGCAGGAAGGGGCGAGACTGACCTGCGTCCTAAGCTTGATCATGTCGGCCTCCATCTGTGAGTTGGACTCGTTCAGCTCCTTGATTTCTTCGTCCAGCTGTTTGATTTCTTCGTCATTCTCTATCCCTGCCCCGGCGAACATAAACCAAGTGCATTACAATTCTGCTCAGGGAACACCACGTGCGAATCCCCAGTTTTCTTATTTAAGAACTAGTGACCCGGTGCACGGACTCATGCACATTGAAAGGAAATTAATTAGAAGGTGGCTGACGGGGCGGGACTGGGCAAGAGGGGCCGGACACGCCCTGGAGCCAACCTCCCGCGAACCCTCCCTGGCGTCTGCGGAGTGAGCAGGGTCCCTCCGGCAGGTGGGGTCCCTCGGCCTGGCCTGTGGGGATTGGGCCGAAACCAGCTCTCCGACTTCCCCCGAGGGGTCCGTGTGCAGTGACCAGATTCAGGACTGCTGCTGCTGTACAGGGTGTGGAACGCAAGCGCACGTGTGCAGTGACCAGATTCAGGACTGACGGTGCCCCAGCAACAACATAGCCCACGGCTGATGCGCCCCACGAGGAATTGGGCTCCCTCCTCTCTGGTTTTGGGGTGCGTCACCCGAGAACCACTGCTGCCAAGTCACTGCAGCTCAGCAGCTCCTGCATTGAGCGTCTGTCCCCTGGTGGTCAGTGTGCATCATAGCGCCCAGTCGGATGGTTGGACACTTAGCATATTAGCCTTTTATATAGATAGAAAATAGTCATGTTTGCGTGTCCTTCTGTCCCCAACCACTGCCCTCCTTTCAATTAAGGCCCTAAAACCAGACACAGTCAGCTGGGGTGCGCAGACCGCACTGAGGGTCACCCTCCCGGGTGACTGACCGGAGCCGTGGGGGTGACCTCACTCGGCCAGGAGTGCGCTCAGGGACGCAAACTTTCCTTGGCTCTGCGTTTGTCCTGAGGGTCAGAGTGCTGGTTGGGGTTACAAGTCACTTTTGGCAAGTGGGCACGTGCACAGTGATGGAACTGCAGGTCCCCGAGGCTGGCACGTCCTCCACGCCTGATGGGGTGGCAGCACTCAGAGGACTGGACTTTGCAGACGGATCAGGAACCCCAGGCCTGTGGGGCTCAGAGAGAAGGCAGAGCAGAGGGGCCCGGCGCTGCTCTCGGGGGGAGGCCGGATGGGGCAGAGGCACCAAAGGGGAGTCTTGGGGAGAAACCACTGGAACCCCCGGTGGGGGACCCCTGAGGCACTGCTGTGACTGGTGAGGTGATGGGTGCTTGGGGAGGACTCTCCCGGGTAACAGGCTTTATCGTAAGGGACAGACCTGGTCCGTCCCACTTGGTTTCTAACTGTGCTCAGATGTGAAGCTAGAGGACCGAGCGCCGGCCTGTGACTGTGGCCAGTCCTGAGCCAGGGTGGGGTGGGGTGGGTGTGGGCGGGTGTGGGGGTGAGTGTGGGTGTGGGAGGTGTGGGTGGTGGTAGTGGTGTGGATGGTGGTGTGAGGGTGTGGGTGTGGTGTGGGTGATATGGGGTGGGGTGGGTGTGGGTGAG